CCTGATTTCACTTTCTCAGATTAATATAATATAATAAGGAGCAGCAACACAGGTTTTTACAGAATCATTTTTGTAATCACTGACTCTGCAGGAGGAGGGAACTAATAAAATGGTGTCTGGGATGCCTGTGACAGTGGCTTAAACCATGTTGTCCCCAAGCACTTTGAAGAATCCCTGGAGGGTCATACTGCTCTTATGGCAAGGCTGCCAACACTTTGCTTGGTAATGCCCAGTACAGAGCAGCCTGAGGGAAGACGGGAACATGGGAGAAGGGACATCCTCAATATCGTGCTGTCAGCTAGGTGAGATCTATCATTTGGAAATGGTCTGAGCAAAAGAATAAGACTTTAATAAGCCTGCTGCCCTATCCCTGAGCTGTGCAGTGGGAGGCCCAGCTATTGGAATGACCTTAAGTTCTTATAAGACTCTGCATATGAGAGAGTACTGTGAAATAAAATACTAAAAGCAATTTATATCAAAATATAATCTGGTGTTGAAATGGTATGATGTTGGTGTCGTTTTTCACCTTTTTTTTCTATGCAGCCTCATTAATGATTATACCTTTAGAATCATCTTTAACAAATGGTAGAAAGCCTGATCTTCACAAATAATTTAAAGGCAAAGATGTGCAGGCTGCTCTGATACTACAATGCGTTACACAGTTTCACAGTCTGTAAAATGGGAATAATAATATTTCTCTGTCTTTCAGCTTTGTTGCCCTTCTGCAAAGCAGAAAACAAGGAAGTGTTGGTTCATTGCTCTTACCAGTGCTCTATCCATTATTTTCACTAGGAAGAAAAAACGAGAACGCTTGTAAAAGTGTTCCAAAAACGTGCGCTTTATTGGAAAGATTCCCGGAAGCTACTGGCTGCAGAAGAGGGCAGGTACTTGGCAAACTTCTTTGTTTTTGCAAATTCCTAACACAGGGAAGAGGTGATTTTGCAGAATGTATACAGAGGGATGCATGAGGTATGTTTAATGATGCCTCAATCCTACAATGAAGTTGACAGTAAAAATACACCCAGTTTTGGCCCTCAGCAAATACAAGGTGCAATATGTTAGCTGGAGCCTTTCTATGGAATCTTTAGTTGGAGCCATTTCACCTTGGGTTCACTGGGATCTTGTGGTAGGTGAGTCGTTATTTGCCGTGGGTCAACCACGTAGTAATTTACTAAACCTCAGCCCTAAGTGACCTGGTCTGACTCAGAGCTAACCCTGCTTTGAGCAGGAGGTTGGATTAGGTCTCTTCTAACCTAAATTTTCCTATACTTACTCTTGTCTGAACTGAACTTTGTGGGACGACTTCAGTGAGCTCACTGTGATGACCTCCCCCCATCTGCCCCAGCCCAGCTGCTTTAGCAGACAGAGAATCACCTCGTGGAAGCCAAGCAACAGTGCTGCTGCCATGCACTTGTTTCCTGAAGGTTAAGGAAGGAAATTTTACATCCATGAGCTGTGGCCTTGGGTGCTGGCAAAGTTTGTTTTGCGTGACTGGTCTACACTGACTATTCGGCTGCAAATTAACCTCATTAAATCATGCACTTACATGGTATGGATCAATAGATACGCAACTGGATGTGATTCTGTAGGACAGAATCTTTTTTTTTTTTATTAGGTTGTTATATCTGTAATGACTACATGAGAATAACCTTTGCATTGCAAAATTAAGGATGCGAAAGTTGGAAAACACAGTGCTGGCGTCATCCTAATTCAGAGCCTTGAGAGTAGCTTTTTCACCAGAGTCTGGCTTTTGATGTGCAGACGTGCCCTGGCTGGCTACTGTTGTGGAAATGGACAAGGCTATCGCTTCACTGGTCTGTTGTGAAAGCTGGTTGAGTGAATACAACTGGTGAGAGAGGTCATCACGCTCAGTGAGGCTAACAGCAAGAAAACTGTTTTCTGTGGCATCCGCAGCCAAAATGGATCTACCCCAGAGAGCAAGTTTTCTTTGAGAGCTCCTGTCTTGTTCATTTTTTGGCACCCCATGTGTTACGCCAGGACATGGTTTGTGGAAGCGTTGCCTATTCACAGCAATAAACTGTAGTCGTGTGTTTTGAACATATGAAATGTAAAATAATGTGAAAAATGATGCTCCAGAAGTCTTAAGTTTTACGTCCAGGATTAGGGGATGACTAGGGCAATTTTGGTTTTATGCTAGCCATGCCTCAGATTCTTGCTGGTAAATTAAATTAAAAATATCACCTAATATCTATTCATTTACTGAAGCACTTGGAAGCAATGGGAACAAACATGATCAGGACATGATCAGGAATTCTGTGGTAGATAGACCCTTTGGATGCTTTGGGCACCTTGTGTATTGACAAAGGTAAAAAGAAATGTAAAATAATTCACAAACTGCTTAGTGCTGCTGAAAGACTGTGTAGAACAATAGCAAGTGATCATATTGTTAAAAATTATGTCGTTCTTCTCAAAAATAGCAGTAAACTGAAAGTAGCACAGGTAATTTTGATGCTGGGCATTTCTTAACTCTTTGGAGTTTTACTTTACAGACACAGTATAACTTGTCAGTAGTTCACGACTACGTAGTACTTGAGTACAGCACATACATGTCATTCACAGACATATCTAGACTGATCTGAGTGGTCAGATAAAACACGTGACAGTAATTGTTCTGCAGTGCTGGTGTATTAGCATTAAAAAGTTTGATTCTCTGGGATATTAGTAGCTGTCCTGTGTAGCCAGTTATTTGCATTGCATTCGGGTCTGGCAGGGCAATCAAGTTAATGCACCTCGGTGTAGCAGAGGTGGGGGGTCGGAGCGTCTGTGTTCACCACAGCCACTGGAGCTGATCACCTGCTGTCGTGAGAAACTGCTGGAACCTCAGATGGTGGGAACAGCTAAGGCGTTAGACACACGGTGTCTTCTGCTGATTTTGTAGCAGTTGGAGAGCAAGCAACACCTTAAACCCTAAGATTTATCACAGTTACCCAATCCCAGCCAGACGTGCAGATTTCTCAGCTGAAAAGCCGCCTCTCACCACTCTCGTGCGTTGTTCACACTTCCTGTTCCTCGGGTTGTTGTAGAATGCCAGAAAGGCTCAGGTGAGAAGGGATGTCTGGAGGTGACCTAGTCCAACCCCTTGCTCAAAGCATGATGAACTAGAGCAGGTTGCTCAGGACTGTCCAGGCAGGTTTTGAGTGCCTCTATGGACAAAGGCTCTACAGCCTTTCTGGGCAGCCTTTTCCAGTGTACAGTAAAAAGTGTTTCCTTATGTTTAAATGGAGTTTCCTGTATTTCAATCTGTGTCCATTGCCTCTTTGCCTTTCACTGGATACCGTTGAGAAGAGTCTGCCTCCGTTCTCTTCACTCCTCCCATCAGGTATTTATATACATTGGTAAGATTCCCCCTTGAGCCTTCTGTTCTCCAGGCTGAGCAGTCCCAGCTCTCTCAACCTCCCCGTGTGTGTCAAACACTCCGATCCCTTAATCACCTTTGTAGCCCATCACTAGACTTGCTCCAGGATGTCCACGTCTCTCTTGTAGTAGTAGCAGAGAACTAGACCCAGAGCTTGAGACGTCTCACCAACTCTTGAGTAAAGAGGAAGGATAACCTCCCTCAACCTGCTGCCAAAGCTCTCCCTGGTGTGGCCCTGGAGGCTGTTGGTGATGTTTGCTGCGAGGGCACATTGCTGGCTCATGCTCACATTGCTGTCTATGAGGACCCCACGTTCTTTTTCTGGCAAGTCGCTTTCCAGATAGTTATCCGCCAGCTTGTATTGGTACATGGGGTTATTCCTCCCCAGTACGGAACTTTACACTTCTCTTTGTCAAACATCATAAGATTCTTATTTGCTCCTTTCTCCAGCCTGCCAAGGTCCCTATGAATGGCAGCAAAAAACCTGTAATATATCAGCCGTTCCTTTCCATCATCTGCAAACTTGCTCCCATCATCTGAGTCATTTGTGAAGTTGTTGAACAGTGTTGGACCCAGTATTGAGCCCTGGGGTACAACTCTGATGAGTGGCCTCCAGCTGGACTTTGTGCCTCTGATCACAACTCTCTGAGCCTGGCTGAGCTGCTGGTTTTCAATCCACCTCGCTGTCAACTTAGCTAGTTTCTATTTTATCAGTTTGTCAGTGAGGGTGTTTATGGCAGTGTTGAAAATCTTCCTAAAGTTGAGATAAACTATAACCACTAATCTCCCATCATCCACCAAGCTAGACATCTCACCATCAAAAGCTGGCAAAGTACAATTTCCCCTTCATAAATCCATAATAATTGCTCCCAGTCACCTTCTTTTCCTTCATTTATTTGGAAATGGTTTCCAGGATTGTTTGCTCCATCACTTTCTCAGGGATTGAGGTGTGGCTGATCAGCCTGTAGTTCCTCTGATCCTCCTTGCCCTTCTTGAAGATAAGAACAACATTTGCTTTCTACCAGTCCTCAGGGACTTCTGGTGGTTGCCATTACCTTTCATAGATTATTGACTGTGGATTCACAGCATCGTCCATCTCCCTTAGCACTCATGGGTGGATCCCATCAGGACCCACGGACAAGTTTCTTGAGTTTGTTTAAGTGCTCCCTAACCTGATCCTTCTCCACCAAAGATTAAGTTATCTTTGCTCCAGTCCTTCCCACTGGTCTTGTTTGCCTGGTGTTGCTGAAGGTCACTCATACCAGTAAAGACTGAGGCAAAGGTGGCATATAGTGCCGTAGCCTTTTCCATGTCCTTTGTCACCGGATCTGCCACATTTAGCAGCAGGCCCATGTTTTCCCTAGACTGCTGATTTATAGAAACCTTTCTTGTTGCCCTTCACTTCCATCTCCAGATTCAACACCAGGAGGGCTTTGACTTTCCTAACCTCATCCCTGCATGCTCAGAGAGTGTCTCTACAGTCTTCCTGGGTGACCTGACCCTGCTTCCACCTCTCATATGCTTCCTTTTTGTCTGAGTCGCCATGCTTCCTGCGCACGGGCATGAACCATTCCTGAGCTTGGACAAGGTGATACTTAAAAGTCAACCAGCTGTCCTAGACCCCACTTCTCTCCAGCAGAGTGTCTCGTGGGATTTTTCCCATCAGATCCCTGAATAAGCCCAACTCTGCCCTCCTGAAGCTGTGGGCAGTAATCCTGCTTTTTGCCTTTCTTCCTCGTCTCATGATCCTGAACTCCACCATCTCATGGTTGCTCCAGCCAAGGCTGACAGTGACCTTCACAGCCATGTTGTCATCTGAGAGGGACTGGTCAGTCTGGCTGGCACAGGCCTTGTGTCTCCTGTGGTCCATCCTTTTAAATAAGAGTGTCTGTAAGTCTTTCTGTAGGAAAGAAGGTATTTTTCTGATTGTAGATAGCAGATAATTATTTTCAGGTTGAAATATGAATACTGGTTATTTTAAGCAAAATAAAAAATATGCACTTTTGCGCGCACACACACACACACCCCCCTGGATGCACACCCCTCCCTCACAAAACATATTTTTTGTAGTATCGAACACCTTTAGGATGTGAGAAAGAGCAATTGTTGCTGAGACTCTTTAACAAAAGGCAACATTGCACTTTTGGCCGGTTGTGAAGGATGAGATGTGATGAAGCCCTGAAATCCTGGCTGTGTAGTTGTGAAGGTGAATGTGTTGAAGTCCTGCCTTGCTCTTCTTGCAGATCAAATATTCCATCATGCACCCAGGGACTCATGTCTGGCCCCACACAGGGCCCACCAACTGTCGTCTAAGGATGCATTTGGGCTTGGTGATACCTAAGGAAGGCTGCAGAATTCGATGTGCCCAAGAGAACAGGTATGGTTGGGGTTTTGGGGGTTTGTTTTTTTTTCCACCTTACTCAAGGCTGAAAAGGCAGTGGGACTGCATGTAATTAAAAAAAAAATAACAGGGTGTTTCACTGATCAGGAGGCATAATATGTTTTGTTAAACAGGCAATTTGCACCCTAACTCTTGATACAAACACATAAATACCAGTTCTCAAAAAATACCAGAAGAATCTTTGGAGACAAATCTGCTCCTCTTCGCTATGGCGTGGAAATAACGGTGGATTTAGTCCACGGAGTCTCTGCGTTTACTTTTACAATGCCAGTCTAATATCGTTGCGAACAGAGCTGGCAATCCATTTGTTTTGATTTGGGGGACTTCAAATTCGTTGTTTATTCAACAAAGCCTGAGACTAAGCTGTACCTCTGTTTTCACCACCATGACGGCATACTCTTGTGTTTCTGGCAGAAGCCTCCTTCCTAACTGATATTATTTGTCATAATTCAGTTAAAAATATTCCAATTGTAGTTGACTTCAAGATGAAGATGTCTATGAAGGGTTTGGCCCAATGAGTTTCACAGGTAGCAAATTTCTTTGAAGTGCATTTTAGGGAAGAATTCTTACCCCTTAGGGAAAAATTATGCTGACTTGAAGACCAATTTTGTCTCTGTTTGCCTGGTGCAAAAACCAAAATAAAATGCAACAGCTTATTCATTTACAATCAGAGCATATACTCCCCTGGAAAATATGAGAAAATGTGATTAAGTTTTTGCGTGTTATTATTAAACACAGACAGAAAAATATAGTATTAACTACATTGCTTTTTGCTTACAGACTTAATTTTCTGAGACTTTTCTGAAATTCTAATGATGCTTAATATCTACATGTATGTTTTTGGAAGACTCTGTGTCATGTCTGCAGCATCGGAGTGCAACAAGCATTAATTTTGAATTCTTTTCATGGTAATAATGTACAGATATATTTGATACCGAGAAATGAAATGCTACTCCTGTCTGCATGACTGCAATATGTAGCAAAGATTTTTTTCATAACATTTGAAAACAACTACAAGAAATGTTTAGAATTTTTAAGGATAGAAGTATCCAACTGTTTATAACCAAAAATGTTGTCGCTGTAGACTCCTGCCAATGTAGAGCTTATTTAATGATTTGTCACAGTCAGCGTTACAATCTACACTACCCACATCTAGGTAGCGATGGACATGTATTTCCAACATTCCAATCCAATATCCAAAATGAGCTGGATGGAGGGAGAGGACTTAGAGGACTGATATAGAGAGGTGGAGTCTGTGAGTTCAGGTTGGTGGTGACTGAACGGCGTTACCATTAGGCGGCTGTTGGGTAGTGAATGAAGTGGTGGCTTTGATCTGCTGCCAAGAGCGCGGCTGTCCACAGCTCACCACCTGTTATTATGGCCAGACCCTTCTTTGCCTTAACCCAAACAGAAGGGCTAGTCCTGTGGAAAATGAACTTCACTACCTCCTCGCAGCAGCGCTCTCTCCAAGTCGAGAGTGGAGAAGGGGTGCGCTGCAGACAGGCACGTCCGTGTCCAGGCTCCCGAACCTGGCTCAGTCTTGTGCGTGGGACTTGCTCATTGGAAATGTGAAACGCTCAAGAGCTGACCGCAGCCTGTGCTGGAATGCTCTCACTTCAGTGGCTTTTGGCAAGAGCTACACATTCGGAATCAAAGACAGGGTTTTCCCTGAGTGCCTTGAAAGTGTGTCTGCTGCTGGCAGTGAAAGGGGGTTTTTACACTCCTTCCCTCCTGAAAGAGGAGGTGGGTGACCGGCTGTGGAAGGGAATGGTGCCAGGAGGAAACCCTGCCTTGGGCATTGTCCGTCCTCCTTCCCGGTGGTTCAGAGCAGGGGTAAACTAGTTTCAAATAAGAGAGCTGGCCCAAATATGAAGGTTAGCATAGGTCAGGCCTTTTCTGGCCTCCTGTCCCGCTGTTTGTGTATGAGAGAACAGAAACGGGGAAGATTTTGTGCTTGGTCTCCTCTGTGCCCCCCAGCGTGGGAGCTTAGAGGGGCAATGTTAGAGTGCAGCTCACCCTCTGATGGAAGGGCGGCTCAGCTCCATCTGGTACCATGTCTCACTCCTTCGCTTGCAGAAGAGTCTTTTGGCAGCTGCGAGGAGTGGGTACGCCTGCTGGGTGTTCTGTACAGCTTTGATCATTTTGGGTCGTTGGGCCATTTAGAAGTCTTAGCTCTGTAAAGTGTAGGGTACAATGCACAAAAATGATAGGTAGATAATATCTAGTTATCAAAATTGAACATCGCTGTCAGACAAGGTCATCATTGTTTGAGGGGAAGGGGCAGAATTACAGCCTTATGCAGAGTCCAGGCCGAGATCTCCCCTGGAACTGGGGACACTAGGGGTGTGCAGGCGATGAAGGAACTCCCTCAAAGTGGCTCAGCACCAGACCAGAATAATATCGTCCCTGTGGTCCCACTGTGAAGTGTTTCTCACACCGTGAAGGCTTCTAGAAAATATTTATTTGCATGCTAATGGTGGGGTTTGTAATCTATTCAAAAGGGGCTAATAGTTCTGTCAACTTTATGACTTTTTCTTTGTTGTGCAAAACAGCCCATCCCATTATGATGCAAATGACAGATCCTGGGGTTTCACCTCTGAAGCTACTTCATCTGGGTGCTTGGAGTTCTTATTGTCCTTAATTGAGCTGCACTTTCAGGCTATTTAGGGCAGGATTTTTCAAGTTTGGTTTAATTTAAAAAACCAAACCAAAACAAACAAAAAAAAACCCCAACAACAAATCCACAAGAAAAACGCCCTCAAAACAAAATACCCCCAAACAAAAGCAAATCCCCAAACTTCCCCAAAACAACAAAAAAACCCCATCCCTCAAAAAAACTCCTGCTTATTTTTTAACACATTGTAGTGTTGCAAGCGGTTAACTCCCACTGACTTGAGTAATACCCGCTTAACTTCAGTGCAGTAGCAGAGACTCGGGGTCTATATGGCACAAACTGTTTTTGTTACCAGATAACTGAGGTGGTAGCAGAGAAAACACGTGCTCACAGCTGAAACCTGTACAAGGCTCATTATCTGAGCCTTCAAAGCTGCTGTCTGTGTGCAAGCCAGTGTGAAATTTTTACTATATGTTATGCTTTCTGGTTTATCTACCCTTGCTTAAAATATGTTTAGATGATCATTTTAGGTGAAATGATCCAATTTCCAATTTCCATTTCTCTTCAGAACGCTACAGCACAACCTCATAAATTTTGATGGTTAATTTTTGCTTTTGTTGAATTAAAAATTAAAATACCGGGATGACTTGGGAGTCTAAAACTCATTTTCACACTGTTTTTGAAAAAAAGAAAATTGTTTTCTCTGTGAGTGGACACAGTTGAATGACCTAAGCAATGCATTTCCATCTTTGATGGCAAGATCTTTGTTTCTTTACCACTGCTGCTGTTCACAGTTCCTAATTCCCTTTAAGGGCATCCATCCTCAGGGACTGCTTTAGCTCCTAAGGGATCCTGTTAAAAACTTGGTTGTGTGGTCATTATAGAGAGGCTTCTTTGACCAGTATTGCCTCGACTGACTGTTACTCATCGAGTCTTACCTGAAGGGATATAATCAAGTCCGTGCTTTTTGTCCTGCTGCAATGCAAAATCAATTTGCTTTGCTCTTGCCACTGCCTGACTTTGCCATGGACAAACCACATAACACACAGTCAGCCGCTGTGCCTGTGCAGTAGGTGAGATCAAGATCTGAGGGGCAGTGACAAATGGCCGGCACAGTGACTTTTTGACGTGTGGTGGCATTAGCACTAGTGGTCACCAATCAGCTGCTGATTTTTTGCAGTATCAGGACTGCATTTAACTCTGCCAAATTATGAATCCGGCTCTTGGCAGGCTGGAGAAGCGAGCCCGCCGAGACCTCGTGAGGTTCAACAAAGGCGAGTGCAAAGCCCTGCAGCTGGTACCGACAGATCAGCATCTCGCAGCAGTACCGGCTGGGTGATGTCTGCACAGAAAGCAGCTTTGCAGAGAAGGACTTAAGGGTCCTGGGGGACAAGCTGAACCTGAGTCAGTGTGCTCTTGGCTTGATGAAGGCTAGCTGTGTACTGGGCTGTGTTAGTAAGTGTATAGGAAGCGGTTTGGGGGGAACAGGTTTTTTCCCTCTCTCCTGCCCTCAAGGTACTGCCTCTGGAGTCCTGCATCCAGTCCGGGGCTCTTCGGTACAAAAGCAGTCATTGAAAAACTAGAGGACTCCAATGGCGGATGAAGAAGATGGTGAGGAGACTGGAGCACATGGCACATGAGGAAAAACTGAGAAAGCTGGTTTGGAGTCTGAAAAAGAGAAGGCCAAAGGGAACCCTAGTTATTGTCTTCAGCGACTGATGGGTGACTGTGCAGAACACAGAGCCAGGCTCTTTTCGGAGGTGTGCAGTTATAGAATGAGAGGTAACAGACACAAGTGATGGTGAAGGAAATTCCGTCTAGATAGAATGAAATTTTCACAGTGAGGTAGGTGAAACACAGGAGGAGGTGGTGGAGCGCTCATGGTTGCAGAAGTCCACTAGCCAAGAACCTGAGCTGTCTCATTTAACCTCAAAGTTGGATCTAACTTTGCCGTGAGTCTTGGCCTGAGCACAGGCTTGGACCAGATGCCCTTCCAAAGTTTCTTCCAACCTAAGTTATTCTGTGATTCTGTACTTCGTAAAAATGGGCAGAAACACTGATTCTTCAATAATTAATATCTCCCTTCTACATTGCCTCTTGTGGCTTTTAAATCTGATGATTCTGTTAATTTTTCAAATGATGGAGGTGCTTAAAACCAAACCACTCTGAATAAATGGTGTGTATCCCTTCTTGTGCCTAACACAGGTACAGATCCTGGAAAAGTGCCACTGTTGAAACTTGTCTTTTCCACGTGGTAATGAACACTCACGCAGGGTGTTTACATCTGCTCAGTGATCGGCTCTGCCTGAGCAGTGCTGGGCAAGCAGGGGGCTTTGAGTTACGTGGTCTCATCCTTCCAGCTCAGCTCTAACATTGTAGTTACCCCAGTGTGCACGGTGGCATTGCAACCTGCCTCTGAAGAAAAATCTTCAGACTTTGTGCTTTGAATGGATTTACAGGACAAGACTGTTAATATACCTGAAATTTTAAGCATGATCAGGGCCTAATTCTGTTGTTCTAATTTTTAGAAAAGGCAGATTGATGTAATGTAATTTGTTTTCAAACCATATGACCGCATTACTGGTCTTTCCCTTGGTTTGCATCACTCACTGTGTATGTGTCTGATTAGAAAAGGAGAAAAGTTGATTACCACACCAGTATTATGCCTGCTCCCAGCTTATTGCACTCAACTCATTAAGAGTATATAAATAACAGATATTATACATGTCTGAATGTGTGTGTGGGCATAACTACGCAGAGTGAGGGGAACCGTTCCCTTGCTAATACGAAGGCCCGTTAGGCTGATCTCTCTGTAGTTTATTTCAGTTAAAACTCTGGTACTCCAATGTCTTTATATTAGGAAGTGAAATCCTAACCGTGCAATATGTACTGTTTAAGAGTACAAAGAGTGTATGTCAAAGAGCATCTTCACAGCTGATACATAGCTTGGCTGCTCCACAGCACTTCAAATACTACACTGAAGCATCTTCTTTTTTTGTGTTGCAGAACCTGGGAAGAAGGGAAAGTCCTTATTTTTGATGACTCTTTTGAACATGAAGTGTGGCAGGATGCTGAAAATTATCGCCTGATATTCATTGTGGATGTGTGGCACCCTGAGTTAACGGCACAACAGAGACGCACCCTTCCTGCTATCTAAGGGGTTCCTTCCGATGTGCGGAGCAGAGGAGCTTTAACCCCTTTGGAATGTGGCAAATAGGATTAATATATCCAGCATACAAAGAATGCAAGTATTGTAAGGGTTAGAAGAGATACGGACAACATTCTGCGATCACAGAGGACTTGGTTTAAAAAAATGAAAAAGAAGAAGAAAAAAAAAAAAGCCATGTTTTGTTCTGTACTGATACGGCACTGATACGTATTGTTTTTCCAGCTGCAAGTCTGAAAATACAAATCGTGTTAGCCAAAGAGCGATCGGTCTGGATTTTCAAGCTGAGGAATGTGCAGATGTTTTTGCCATGCCCGTGTTGTGCGTTCAAAGGCAGTCAGTCAGTCACCTGCCCGACCATGTTTAGGCACAAGATTTGCAATTCTCCGTCGGAAATATTCCCCAGGCTTTTATCTGGGAAGCAACTTGTAAGGTATTTGCAAACATATGCACAAGACCAACTTTGAAAATCAGTATGCAATTGTAACGGTAGCTGCTTTAGACGTAGAATGTGTCCCTGTGTTATCAACTGTAGATAATGTGAATGGGTTATGTGTGGTTTGTATTTTTTTTCTACCTGAGTAACTGTATTTTTCTAGCCTAATTAGGAACAAATCTCCTTTAATCAACCACTATTTTTAAAAAAACTATATATATAGGTGCATCTCTAGCTATCAGCAGAAGAAAAACACTATATATGACTGACTGCATTCTTGCCAAGTGTGGCCTTCTCTTGCCTTCCAGGAAATGCAAACAGAAACTTGCATAATCCGCTGCTTAGTGAAGCTTTGTTCTTCTGAAGCGAAGTAGTTCCCGTAGTTAGCAGGCATCCTTCAGTTTAATAATGTGATTTTGGAAGATGTTGAGCAAATGTGACATCTGTAGGCACAGATCTTAGAGTGCTTGATGGTTCTTAGTGGTGAACTGCTGTTTCTCCTGTTGTTACAAAACCGTGATAGCTGTTTTCTACCCAGCAAGGGTCTGGGGCTCCTCCTTCCAGAGGCTCCTCCTTCCAGGAGCTCCTTCTAGGCTGCCCTCGGGTGCTGATTCAGCAGAAAAAAAATACATGAAGAATTCCTTGTGCTTTGGGCAGAAGGACAAGGTCTAGTTTTGTTTCCTGCCAGAATGCAGAGCGGGCAAAGAGCTTCAGGTTATTAACTTGCCTTAACTTCTGCTGCCAGCGTCCTGCAGAGTGCTTGAATGCTCCTTTGATTGACCGAACGGTGTTTTCCTTGCCTCGAAATGTGTGACGCAATGCTGAAGTAGTCTTATCCCGGTAGGGCCTGCGTATGCTCTGTGTTTGCTGTTCAGAACATACGATGTGGCAAAAGGCCGGTTTTCGGGAAGGGGAGCTGGGTGGGTGTTGAAGGCTTTGGCTGGTCTTTCAGCCCTGCGCTGCTGAGTGGGAGGTGGGGGGTGCCGGACTCTCCGCAGTTGACCTGTAGGGAGGCTGACAGGAGAGAGACCCGAGGCTGCGTGGCTGATGGTCACGGCTGGCTGTTCCCTGCTCGCCCACAGACCAGCTGGGTGTGGATGGGCGTGCGGGGGTGCTCGGGGCTCCTCAAGGCAGGGCCGTCGTTACCGAGGGCTGTGAGAGACAAGCACTGAGCGCGGAGATGTTGGGGTCACTTAGTCCCCACAGCTTTGGCTTCATTGTCCAAAAGACCCTGAACAGTCATCTTATTTGTTTAATGCTCAGTGGTTTTGTGCTGCAGGGACGACACCGTGGTACCTGGGTGTCGTGACCAGAATGCCACGTTTGCCGAAGCAGAATATAGAGAAGAGCTTTGCCTTCCCATAAACTGAATGGTTTTTCGGATTTGGTGTTTTACCAGGTAATTAAATCTTGTAATGCCATGTAGCACATGGTGATTGCACCACGAGTTAGTGTAACCCGTTTCTGGAGGTGTGCACTTTAATTTCCTTTTTGACTATTAAACTGATAAACCCTCTCTGATCAGGAGTCAGCTTTAGACAGCTGTGATAATTAGGCTTTAATGTGTGGTCTGCATGAAAAATAGCACCGAGACGATACATAGTATTCAAGAAAGTAACAGTTGTCGGTTAATCGTCATGAAAACTGAAAAGATTTCTAGGTTTCACACTTAAGAAAATATAAAAATACTTGTGCAGAGCTATAGGAGAATCATGTGCAAAACTGGAAATGAGGTACTCATTATTGTGGGGGGTAAAAACATTTTTAAAACATTTTAAATCTCCTGGTAGTTGCTTAGTCAGAGGCTGTATTTTGTATCTTTGTAAAGTGATCAAGCAGCACAAATTATAAACTATTTTGTAATTCTCTAAAATAAAGACATGGTTTGTAAAGAAGGAGTCAAGGTCTGCTTAAACCAAGATTTGTGGTTTAAGAATATTGTTATTAATGTTGCATTTTAGTTTCTATAGCTCAGAGTAAATACTAAAGGAGTGGTAAAAGCTTTGGAGCTTTATTTATGAAAATCCATGCCGTCCTTCAGATTATTTCGTGGCTCCCTTGGAGGCCTAAACTGTATCTTTGCCAGTTGCGACTGGCCAATAGCTAAAAGCAGTCTGACCGAGATGTGCGTGTGCTGGAGTAGCAGTGTTCAGTAAACTGTGTAGTGGTATGTTGGCCATTTAAAATCTGAAGTGCCTTGAACATGGGAAGGTGGGTTATGGGTAGCGTCTGCAGCACTGGAGGGAGTCTGCTCTGTGCCTGCCTGTCCAGGAGCTGGGAGCACGTCCTTTTGTCGGGGGCAGTTACTGCATCAGCTCTGTACATGGGAGGAGATATAGGTGTGTGTATATATATGTGTGTATATATATATATATATGTATGTAGCCAACTGCAGAAATTATGCCATGAATAAGTGGTATATTATTTTAGTATTCCTGTTTGCCAACCGGTGTTTCATCTTGAAAAAGCTTTTCAACATTGGGAATGCCAATGGAAGAAGTGAATGGAAATGGTTTTTAAATGGAGAACCGTTCCAACTTTAATAATTTTTTTTTCTTTAGATTTATTGATGGAGGGAAATGACAGAAAAGGGCCATAGAGTCTCCTGCTTGTAAGGCACCACATACTCATCACGATGCAGGAGGTGGATTCCTTCCTGCCTGTGGTTACCTTGCTTGCAAGCACAGCCTCTGTGTAAGATCCTGCAGTTCAATAAAGGCTTTGTATGTGTTTATTCATGTCACAGCTAAAAAAAATTAAATAATTCTAATCCTCTGCAAGGTTTAATCCTCAAGGACCAGATTTCAGTGATATTTGCACTTCTTGGGCAGAACAAGTCCTACTTGACTGAACGGTGATGGTAATGGGTCATCACAAAGACTCAGTGGCACAGAAGGTAAGTGTATTAACAGAGAAAAACCATAAACCAAAGTGTTCCTTCATTAACACTGCAGTACGATGGCCGACATCTGCCTTTTTTTGTCTGTTGGGTTTTTTACTTTCTGCTTTAAGCAAGTTCTCTGTGACAAATGCAAACGCCTGTGAGTCTTTGTGAGCCCGGGGAGGGGATGGGAGCTGTGTCTGTCCCCAGGAGCTGACCTCCTGATTTCCTGCATTAGGTTGTGCTGCCAGGGGAGGGGAGGGGGAGAAGTCCTGGAGATAAGTGGGCTCAGCTGTCTTATTTCATGTTCCTGAAAGCTTCTGCTGCTTTTTCTGACTCCTGTGTTGCCTTGCTGGGACCATCCGCTGGCTGGAAGACCCACTGTCTCACGTTCAATGTATGGTGATTGAAGCAGAGACCAAATGTGTCTACAGCGGTTGTAACCATTTTAGGAAATAAAGTCACTGCACGTGCAATTTGATAACAATTTTTCTTTTATTTCTTTAATCCTGTTTCCATTTCAATGAAGGGATGGGACTCTCTTTGCAGCTAGAGCAAATAGAGAAATAACAAACTGATCTTTGGCATTTCAGTTCTATTCTTCCATGTTTCCTTCTGGCAGAAGCTTGTACTGAATAATTAATTCTGAGCTTTCCTTTTTCATTTTAACCTTGGCCCGCATCTGCAATCAGCATACCCTTCTGGCTACGCCTTTCGCTGACTGCAGGAGGGAAGGGGGTAAATGGCTCTGCAGAGCTTTCATTTGCTGTTGTGACCTAAATAAAACAATCTGGATTGAACCATTAATCACTGGTGAATGTGTCCAAAGGGTCTCCCTAGCACCCCCCCCTTCACACGCGCACACGCATGCACACACACGGATCTAATAGGCTCCCGAGTTGCCTGTGGAAAAAAAAAAACATCGTTAAAATTAAATAGTTGCCTTTCAAATTGTGTGCGTCTGCTGCCCACACCGCTCATTGCGGTTAGCTGACAGTTTTGTAAGGGCTTCAGAAGGTTTTTTTTGCTAGATACTGAAACGCGACCCCTGCACGCAGCATGGATGAGGCAGTCACAAAGTGTTGTGTTGAATGGCATTATGCTGGCACGGATTATTTTTTTTTCTTTTTTTAATGCAAAATCCTTCTGTAAAACTTGACCACTGTAGATGCTGCTGTTTCTGCCCTCTGAGCCAGATTAAACTGCTGATTACAGCACAAAGTTTAAATCTGAGGTGCTTTTCTTTAAAACATGCTTAACCTTCACTTCTATGAAACTGAGCATCCTTGCTGGAGTCCTCAGGAAAACTACTGCCACACTCTCGTTTCTTTAAACAGAGAATGCAGTTCTGCCATTTCCAACATTTTAAATGTCATAAGTCAAAAAAAAAAAAAAAGGGGAAAAGGGGAAAATAAATTCTTTGTGTCTGGACAGACTCCTGCACCAGCAGAAATGTCTCAGTTTTGTTCGGTGTCGGCCGCACGGTCGGATGGCTGGTGGCAGTTGTTGTGACTCGGTCAAGAAACACGAAGGACTTGTTCTCAAGCAGGACGTGTGCGTGCGTGCGTGGTGTGCTCGGTGGGTTTCGGGTAGGGTGGGAGTCTGTCAATGTACCTGTGTGGTGGGCACATGGGGGCTCAGTCCAGAGCCAGCAGCGGTTGGGTGTTCTCGCTTTCCCCCTGGTCTTCGTGTTTCAGCGTCCCGGCTTCCACCACGGACTGGGACCTGAAAGCAAGAAGACACGCGCGCTAGCGAAGGCTGTGCAACAGCACCCACCTTCCTGCAGTCCCTTTGCTTTGTTTCGTGGTTTTTCCTTTTATCCATTTTCATCTTTATGGCTTTTTAATTCTCCTCTGTGGAACACTTAAGGAATTAGAGAAGCGTCCCTTCAAACCTGAACAGGGGCGCGACTCACTGCAGACCTCAGATGCCTTCAGAATCGCGAGCGCCCAGTTACTCTCCGTAACGCTGAATGCGCTCAGCAGCTTAAAGGGACGATCCTGAGGTCCCGTGAGAGCTGCTGGTGCTTAGTGCTCTCCAAGGCACATCTGCTTGTGCGACCGCTTGCTGGAGAGTAAAGTCGTTCGTACAAGCGGTTGCCGGAGTGAGTCTCGGCTCATGCTTGTTACAAATCTTGAGAAAGACAAGTAGATAAATCGCATTTTACTGATGTAAGGGTTAAAGGGGCAGATTTTCCACAAGGTACCCAAGACCAAAGAAGAACCCAGAATTAATATGGCAATGAGAGAGCTTCTGGTGTGCCCAGTCCAGCAATTTATCTCCTTGTCTACACCCTTGAAGGAGAACTTTGTTCAGGGCTGGTCCATTTTAACTCCATCTCTGTCTTCAAGGCGGGAAGCATAGTTTAGCCTTTGCTGCTAATGGACCAAAAACGCCTAACATGTAAAAAATGAGTAAACGCTAGAGAAGGTGGATAATTATGATTTCTTGCAGCAACAAAAGCTGAGTGGGCTTAAATTTGTGGGAAAATTCAAGACTGTTTCATTTTCTGCGATCTGTGTGCTCCAGTGTCTGCTCACTGAGCTGTGGAAGGAGGAACCGATGAGTTTAATGTTACAGAGATTTGTTATCTACCTTTTCTCTGTTTCGGGCTGGGAGTTGCCTCCCAGTTTGGAGTGGGGAATGAGCTTGAGCACAAAATCACTGTGTGAATCACGAACTTTTTCAAAGGTAGGGGCAGACCCACCCGGCCCAGGCATTTGCGTAGCACACAGTACCATTTCAAAGAGCCCGTTTTCTCATGGACAGCTTTTAGAATGAGAGGCAGCGCCCATTCCCTGCAGGATGTGTTTGTACTTCCTAGCGGTTCCTTATGGTAACCGCAGTTTAAGCTTTAGCTATTTCAGGAGATGAGCTATCACCTTTCTTTTGACAAGAATCATTAATAAATTGCATCCTTTGGTACTGCAGCACTTGATCGGGACTGAATACTGTGATTGTGAATAATATGTATGATTATTTTTCTTATTCTAATGCCTGGAGCTTTCATTAAAGCATAATAAAAATTTTTCATTAAAAAAAAAAAATCTCCAAAGAGAGATAACAAAAACTGGATGCTCAATGGGAAGATTTTATGCCAAAATTTTCAAAGAAAATATGTTTACCCAAATGTTTTCACTGCGTATTTTTTACAGTAATGTGACATACGTAATGTTTATGACTACATTTTAATATTGAAAAGCAGCTGATGCAGGAGATTATGCAAAATGGCAATTTACGTGTTTCTGGTCTGTGGCAGTGAAACTCACCATGTGGCTTTGAAACTGATACAGAATTCAAATTGTAGCATCAACAGGTTTTTATTTCCTTTTCTGGGCCACCAGATTCAATTATTATTAAACAGCCCCTGATTAACACTTCTCACCAAGGCATTGCTTCTCTCTGACCCACCGCCCTACAGTGAACATAACAAGCCGCAGACCCTTTGCAGCAGTTGCCAGTGTGCAGCGGGACGTCTGCTCTAAGGCAAATGTGAAAAGTCTCGCCTTTGTGCCGTTTGTGGTCGCTGCTGATTGCCCCAGCTCTCATCTCGTTACACAGAAGAAAATTCTTGCACCTGTAAGAGCAAGATAGCAGTTCCTCCCCCACACTGGTGTGCAGGTGCACGCCGGGTTGGGAGGAAGGTGATCCTGAGCTCCGCGCGCGGGTCCCAGCTGCTGCTCTGCACTCAGAGCCAAGACAGCCAGAGCAGCGGGTTGGTGCCTTGCAGCCCACCTGGCCGCCAGGTTCAAGATACCAAATGATTCAAAGGCTGTGCCCAGCCCTTCTGAACAACCTGAGGAGGGATCCAACTGAGATTTTAGTATCTGCCAAGCTCTGCAGCCACAGTCTCTTTTCCTTCCCTGCTAGAAGGTGCTTAACCCTCTGTCCCAAAATAAGCAGTTCAGACGTTTGTCTGAAGGGCACAGTAGTGATTTAGACAGCCATCACTCTTTTCCAAGACACCACAATAAAGGGCTTGCTATTGTGTTTGGATTTCCATTTTCCAAACGCATCAGGTTTTGGTTTGCTGAAAAGTGTTTCCAGTTTTGTTTTTAACTTAAATTTTATCTAGGGAAAAAAAAAAAAAAAAGAAGGAAATTACTCAATTCTCAACAAGATTCTGAAATACTTTTTTCATGTTCTTCATTTATGATAAATACTAAAAATGTAGATGCTCAGAAAAGCGTTTTGTCAATATATATCAATGCAGCTCCCAATCTAATGTAGTAACTCAGTGGGCGATATGTGTTTTACTGGCCTGGAAGACCCTGGACTCTGTATTCTATAGCTATACTTTGTTTAATGACAGAGAAAAGGTGATTTGCAATAGGCTACTGCTGCAGAAAGCATTTTCAGCTGACCAGTAATTCTGTTTTGCGGCTGTAGGAATTCATATAAGGCAAATACTATTTGAAAGAGTGTGCCCTGTGTGTTGGTTTCATCAATGTGATCACCCTGGGCTGGGAGCTAAGCTGGTGTAATTAACGGATGAGTCAGTGCCCGTAGACTTTCCTAGCCTAGTTTCCAAGGGTAGGAAACCTTGCTTAGGAGAGCAAAATGGAAATGGAAAGAGAAATGAATCCTCAGTCTCACTTCTAAGCCTAGGTACCGCTTGAGTGTGCTCCATTTAAAGCGTCAGTCAAAGCCCCCGTGGTTGTTTTACTGTTCAGCAAGAATATTTGGAAGTCTGGAAAATCAACACTACCCAGCTGCTCCTCCAGCAGGTCAGCCATACATTTCAGATGACAGCACTGCATAGGTATGTGCATCGCTGTCTGAGAGAGCAGATGGCTTTATGTGTGTGGTCATTTTAAAGTGACTGTCTCAAATTCAGTCACAAACCATATCAGAAGGCTGGATGCAGACCTTCCAGCTGCACTGGTTTCAGAAGGCTGTTGTCAGAGTGCAGCTGGAGTGAATCAGCTCCCAGGAATTGATGTCTGTTGGGTATCGGTTTTGTTTCCTGTAAAAAATAAAATGTCACAACCCTGCACTGAGCTAGCAGTAGCTGCCAGCGTACCGTGGCATGCTTGCCTCAAAAGACATCTTCCAATTCTCTGATCCCTCATTTCATGCTCCTCAGGGCAGCAATGCTGGTGTGCTGCAGGAGCGAGGACACGTTACATCTGTGTGGGGTTTCTTTTGGGGAGGGGTGGAGGAAGGAGGAGGGTGGCATGGGTTTTTTTCCCCAAGTGCAGGAGGCTTCAGGCTCTCAGAGTGCCAAACTGCAGCCAGTCAATCAGATCACATCGTGTGACTCTGTTCATCTACCCCTCACCTCCATCTGCTCATTTCCCTCTAGTTCCCATCTCACCAGCACCCTAGGGCCATTCATCTCCCAATTATTCATTCTCTTTACAGAACATAACAAGCATTTTCTTAAAATCACACCTGTGAATTTTTGTACGGCGAAGGTGTGAGGGGCATTTCTTTCTCTGCCCCCCTCCCTCCCTATCAGAGTGCAGGGGAGGGTGCAGCACACCTCCGGAGCACGCCTTCCTCAGGTGGGAAAACCGAGGACTTTCCCCCCAGATTAGAGAAACCGTGCAGATGTGCAGGTGTGAAGTAGTTGCCATAAAAGGTATTCTTTTATTATTGAAAGCACTTGAAAATGAAATGCATGGGCAAGGCATCTTGAAAGCTGTGTCTGCTCCTGCAGGTGATGCAGGCAGACACAGGCCAGCTCTGCTCGGCAGTGCGCAGCCCCGGCGCAGAAGCCACACGGTGTGGCTCCCTGCCCGGGCCCATCAGCCCTGCTGAAATCTCTTGCTAACGCAGCTCCGCAGCTTCTGCACTCGCCCTGGCTCACAGCCCTGCGCTAAGTGCGGTGCTGTGCCACAGAGACCAGCCCGGAGGGGCAGCTCTGGTGCCACTGCGGCCTTTCAAAGAGAGGACACAGCATCCCTGTCTAGGGACGCAGCTGAGCTGGTCAAGTGATGCACTGGCGCAGTGAGCCAGGTGGAGAAGGAAACTTCTTCCACTTTATGAATATTACGCGCACGCACGAGCACTTGTCATCACCATTCACGCTTCTTCTGCGCATCCCCAGTTCCTTGACCACCAAGCGCTCTTTCTCGCCCAAGAGCTTCCAGTCCCTTTGCTCAGACACTCCAGTCCTTTACACCTGCCTCGTCTTTCAGGCTGCCTTTTTTGCTCCCATTCCAGTGACTCTAGTTCCCAGTGTCTGAACCGGATTTGCCACTGAATGGTAGTCTCTTCACTTCTGTGTGGCATTAACAGGGAAGATGGAGCCCCGAAAGCAAAGTCAGTCCTCCTGCTCCCCCACCCCACATCAGAAGTTTCTTGCCCTTAACAAGAGTGGCACCGCAGCATGAAAGCTGCCCTGCAGATGTACCAGTGAGGCTGGCCCATCGAGCACCGGCACAGCGGGAAAAGCCAGAAGGTGGGTTGTGGGGGCAGCGGGCGCTGGGCCGGGTGCGTGGGGGCGTTGTGAGCCCTGCATTGTGCCCCAGCCCCAGGAGCACGCCCTGCTGTGTCTCGGAGGGCTCTTCCCTCCCTCAATGCCCAGGGTAGGCAGTGCTGAGCTAGTAAGTGGCTATTTATGTCGCTGTCTTCTAGCAGTTCAGCGTGTGGCTCGGTGACACATTTGCTGCATATTATTCCAAGCCTGCTCTGAAGATAGCTTTTGTTAATTCCCTCCTGAGCTTTTCTGTGGAGTTCATCAATGCAGCACTTGTGCGCCTCTTAGATGTTAATTCATT